TCCGCGATAAACTTTCACAATAAAAGCATTTAATACAACTGTAGCTTGAGCAGCTTTGTGAGCTTAAAAACTAATACGCAGACTATTTTAATCTGGATGGGAAATATTTTATTACCTTGACTTTATCCCCCTTTGGTTCTGATTTTGTATTTATTACATTTGATCTTTTTTTTTTTTTTGAATATGCTGCCTTCTCTATAAAGTCATTCAAAATGAAATGGTTAAGTTATGATAATTGAATTCATTTCAATCATTTTAGAGAGCAGACAGTAAAAGTACCAAATAAAAGGAATGTTATACACATAGAGGTCAAAGTACTTTATATTTTAATAGATGCAAAAAAAAGACAAAGACGTAGCGCTGAACTCTGGTTTCTACTTTGGCACGCATACCTTTGTACTGACGCACTTCCTGTCTACATCCGTGTCACCTTCAATAGCTTTATACCCCCCTCTCTCTCTCTCTCTGTCTCTCTCTCTCTCTCTGTGTAGGATCTAAGAGATGGAGGTTAGGGAGGGTCTGCATTTTTCCTCATGTTTGCATAAATTGCAGGGGTTCATTTCGGAACAGCGCTGCACGCATTAAAAGACCGAATCAAGTGTCCTTCTGAGTGTTGGCTCCCTTCCTCTTTACTTTGTTTGCTTGTAGTCTCTCTTCTTTACACGCTTTAGCAGTTTGTGGTAAATTTCTTGCAAAGCACTTGCTCGTAGGGGCTCTTAACCTGATCAAGCCTGACTGTCCCTTCCTCTGTATCAGTGGTTGTACAGGTCACAACAAATTGTAGTGTTTTTTGTTTGTTTTAGAGCGATTACAAACAGCTGACAAAGACATCTAATACAGATGTTTACCTCAGGAGCCCAAAAAAGAGCAAAACTAGAGACCGAATGCTGGACTTTGATTCCTCAGAGTGAGCTTGATTCCTGATGTTGTTTAAGAACTACTGGATTAAAACAGAGAAGAAGAAGAAAGTCTATTTTCTTCCTAAACCAAAAGGTGATTTTACTCTATGTCCATGTTGTGTTTTCAGCTTGTCTCTACTGCCCTCTAATATGAAAAGCATTAATTCATGCATTAATTTTTCTACTCGACTTTCCCCCCTGATGCACCTCATGTATTACACATATCTAAATATGTTGTATTTGCTCCTGTAAAACTAAAACACTTCCCTTTTCTGTAAGGTTAATGGAATAAGTTGGACTCTTCTGCCCTGAAATCGAGCGTGCAGCATTGTTGTTCCACATGCAGACAGTTTGTAGTCACAGACATAACTTCTTCTAATCAGCATTTACTCAAAGAATTTGATTATTACTGAACAAGAGGGAGAAATTAGCTAAAGGTGGAAAAATACGCAGACAAAATGAGAGAAAGCTTTCCCGTCTGGCACTGCAGGAGGAGAGGAGCGAGCACTGTAAAATGCACACTGACACAGGAATGCTAGATTTTCTTGCTTGGGCTGCACTGAGAGTGCGATGAGAGCTTCACCCAGACTTGTGTTACCAGATGTTCTGCTTGTCTTTTATTTTGAAGCTCTGTCTGTAGTATCACTAAAGTCTATATCAGAAATGTTGAAACCTATCCAGTGATGAAGTCTAGAGAAATAATATGTCAATATTAATATGTTTTTGTTTATACATTATACTGTATGTGCTGTAGACTACAGAGACACAGGCAGTTGCTATTACATGGAAATCTGCAATGAAATGAAATCTATCCTGGGGGATTTATTTATCTAACTTTAACTAAAGCGTCCACCATTGCAATGTAATTAGCTTTGCATCTTAAGTTAAAGTAGTGCTCTAGCACTGCACTCGTGCACAGAGCCAAAGTGGAATACGATCGTCTGGGTTCTGTTCAAACCTCATTCAAAATCCCAGAGACATTTGTAACTACGCTCATAACTACAAATCCAGCTGTGCTATTAAGTCCCAGATTCCCAGTTGTAATTATG